TAGAAAAACATTCAAAGAGAAATAAATAAGCATACGCAGAAAGTATTATCATATGTACCTGTGGTTTTTTTATATAAAAATACATATGAGTTTTATAAAAATATATATAGTTTTCTTTTTTAATAAAACTCAATGTATTTATCAAAGTAACTTAAACAAATCTCTGGTATAAAGAAGATAAAATAAAAAGATAGGCTCTCGTCACCTTGTTATTCTTCTCGAGCATCTGCTATTTGAATACATATTTACAATAAAAGGTAGAATGTTTGTCCTGTTGACGGGTGTGTTCGTTACGTTAATTAATCGAAATGCTTGAGAGAAATACGTTATGTCACGACTTTTCTACTATAAATAGAGAAGAAATCTATACTTCAGCATCCAGAAGGCAGCCAACACATTCAGAAATGGCTTGGCTTCCAGTGATAACGATTGCTCTTGCATTCTCTTGCTGCATTCCTCAAGGATATGGATCAGCTTCAAAGAAAGCTATATTCCAAAACGAAGAGTTTTTACGGTACTTCTTAGAGACGGTAACAGATTACTTGGAAAACTATGGAGTAATACAAAAAGACCAAGAAAGAGATATATTGGAAAGTTACGAGAGCATCATAGCATCCCTGCAAAAAAATCAGAAAGGAAATAAAATAAAACATGCCGTAGCGTCCAAAATTGCAGAACTCATTGTAGAGAGTGTCGAAGACAATACTGATGTTACCTACAATTTAGATGGAGGTATTCAGGCCACAGCTGCAGCATTTCAAGACACCATCGGCAGTGTTGATGAAAATTTTATAGAAACGGTGAGAGATATTGTTGCAGTGATGTTTAATACTGACCTAGAAGATGAAATTCAACAGGAAATAGAAGAGCGGAATAACGCTATATTTCAAGAATTAAATCAGGAAAATACAGCAGAAAGCATGCAAATACAACAACGAAAAGAAACAACAACTACAACGGAAGATGTCTCAATAAATGAAATAGAAGACACATTCCTAAACACTAATACAGAAAGTGACACCTATGACCACAGCATCATCAACTCTGCTTCTGAAGAATACCAACCATACAGCGCAACACTATTGACGGAGAACTATTTTCAAGAATCCGCAGCAGGTTCCGTTAGCACTCAAGAATTAATCACAGCGATCAGTTCAACACTTGCAACCTCAAATGCCCTTAATGCAATAATATCGGGGGAAATTTCTCTGACAGATGTTATTTATGCCGCTTCGCAGGATATAGCTCAGGTTTATAGATTATCTCAAGAGTTCGTCCAAAGCATTCTCACCCAGTATTCATCTACATATGGCACAGGAACAACAGCAGAAGAAATAGCACTTGCACTTGCATCAGCTTCGTCAAAGCTCCTTATACAATCAGGAGCAGTAACACCTGGCCAGGAACAGAGTGTTGGACAAAGCATTGGTTCCATCATGTTGTCGGTTTTCCAACAGCTACAGTCCCAAATAACACGACCTGCTTTATCTCCTGCACCGCGTCCTCTACCCGCAACACGCCCTGCCATTGCTTCTTTCTTAGCACAGCAGACGCAACAAGCGGGTTCTCTAAGCAGCGCATCATCCGCCGCATCCACTGCTACGACTTTCCCAGCGCTTCAACGTCCAGCGCATCACGTTTACAGCAGCCACTTCCCAAACGTCTTCAGCAGTTTCCGTGAGTAATGAAGCCTTGCAGAGTGCAATCTTTGAACTAGCGTCTTCGACGCCTAAATGCAATAAGTCAGACAACTTTCTGTGCAAAATCTCATTTCAGTAGCATCCCAAATCCTTAAAAATCTTTCGGTATTTCTCAAAGTTCGGCACAAGCATCTCAGCCAGACTTTGTATAATCATGAAGAGGATCATCGACCGGAGCACTCGCTGCGCATGCATCAGCTTTCTCACAGCTTCTTGTACATCAGGGCCGTAACAGCGGGTCAGGAATACAGTATTGGACAAAGGTTTGGTTCCAACCTGTCGTCGGTTCTGCAACACTACAGTCCCAATAACACGACCTGCTCCAGCTCCTGCACCGCGTCCTCTACCGCACCACGCCCTGCCAGCTTCTTTCATAGCACAGCAGACGCAACAAGCGGCTCTCTAAGGCGCACATCCGCCGCATCCACTGCTACGACGTCCAGGCGCTTCAAACGTCCAGCGCATCACAGTTACAGCACCACTTCCCAAACGTCTTCAGCAGTTCCGTGAGTAATGAAGCCTTGCAGAGTGCAATCATTTCGAACATAGCGTCTTCGAGCGCACTAAATGCAATAATACAGACAACTTTCTGTTGCAAAATCTCATTTCAGTCGCGTCCCCAAATCCTTACAAATTCCTTCGTATTTCTCAAGTTCAGCACAAAGCATCTCAGCCACTTTGTCTAATCATGGAAGAGGATCATCGACTGGAGCACTCGCTGCAGCACTTGCATCAGCTTTCTCACAGCTTCTTGTGCAATCAGGAGCCGTAACAGCTGGTCGGAATACGTAATTGGACAAAGCGTTGGTTCCAACCTGTCGTCGGTTCTGCACAGCTACAATCCCAAAAACACGTCGTGCTCCAGCTCCTGCACCGCGTCCTCTACCGGCACCACGCCTGCCCCTGCTTCTTTCATAGCACAGCAGACGCAACAAGCCTTCTCGCGCGCATCATCCGCCGCTCCACTGCTACGACGTCCCAGGAGCTTCAAACGTCCCAGCTCATCACAGTTTACAGCAGCCACTTCCCAAACTCTTCAGCTTTTCCTTGAGTAATGAAGCCGTGCAGAGTGCAATCATTTCGAACATAGCGTCTTCGAGCGCACTAAATGCTATAAGTACAGCCACATTTCTGTGCAAATCTCATTTCAGTAGCGTCCCAAATCCTTACAAATTCCTTCGGTATTCTCAAATTCGGCACAAAGCATTCTCAGCCAGACTTTGTCTAATCATGGAAGAGGATCATCGACTGGGCACTCGCTGCAGCACTTGCATCTGCTTTCTCTCAGCTTCTTGTACAATCAGGAGCCGTACAACAGCTGGTCAGAATACAGTATTGGACAAAGCGTTGGTTCCAACCTGTCGTCGGTTCGCAACAGCTACATCCCAAATAACACGACCTGCTCCAGCTCCTGCACCGCGTCTCTACCGGCACCACGCCCTGCCCTGCTTCTTTATAGCACGCAGACGCAACAAAGCGGCTTCTCTAAGCAGCGCATCATCCGCGCATCCACTGCTACGACTCCCAGCGCTTCAAACGTCCAGTAAAAAAAAAAAAAAAAAAAAAAAAAAAAAAAAAAAAAAAAAAAAAAAGGAGGCGAGGTCACGTTTACAGCACCACTTCCCAAACGTCTTCAGCAGTTTCCGTGAGTATGAAGCCTGCAGAGTGCAATCATTCGAACATAGCGTCTTCGAGCGCACTAAATGCAATAAGTACAGGACAACTTTCTGTGCAAAATCTCATTTCAGTCGCGTCCCAAATCCTTACAAATTCCTTCGTATTTCTCAAAGTTCAGCACAAAGCATTCTCAGCCAGACTTTGTCTATCATGGAAGAGATCATCGACTGGAGCACTCGCTGCAGCACTTGCATCACTTTCTCACGCTTCTTGTGCAATCAGGAGCCGTAACAGCTGGTCAGGAATACGTATTGGACAAAGCGTTGGTTCCAACCTGTCGTCGGTTCTGCAACGCTACAGTCCCAAATAACACGACCTGCTCCAGCTCCTGCACCGCGTCCTCTACCGGCACCACGCCCTGCCCCTGCTTCTTTCATAGCACAGCGACTCAACAAGCGGCTTCTCTAAGCAGCGCATCATCCGCCGCATCCACTGCTACTACGTCCCGGCGCTTCAAACGTCCAGCGCATCACAGTTTACAGCAGCCACTTCCAAAACGTCTTCAGCAGTTTCCGTGAGTAATGAAGCCTTGCAGAGTGCAATCATTCGACATAGCGTCTTCGAGCGCACTAAATGCAATAAGTACAGGACAAATTTCTGTGCAAATCTCATTTCAGTCGCGTCCCAAATCCTTACAATTCCCTTCGGTATTTCTCAAAGTTCGGCACAAAGCATTCTCAGCCAGACTTTGTCTAATCATGGAGAGGATCATCGACTGGAGCACTCGCTGCAGCACTTGCATCAGCTTTCTCACAGCTTCTTGTACAATCAGGAGCCGTAACAGCTGGTCAGGAATACAGTATTGGACAAAGCGTTGGTTCCAACCTGTCTCGGTTCTGCAACAGCTACGTCCCAAATAACACGACCTGCTCCAGCTCCTGCACCGCGTCCCTTACCGGCACCACGCCCTGCCCCTGCTTCTTTCATAGCACAGCAGACGCAACAAGCGGCTTCTCTAAGCAGCGCATCATCCGCCGCATCCACTGCTACGACGTCCCAGGCGCTTCAAAGGTCCAGCGCATCACAGTTACAGCAGCCACTTCCCAAACGTCTTCAGCAGTTTCCGTGAGTAATGAAGCCTTGCAGAGGCAATCATTTCGAACATAGCGTCTTCGAGCGCACTAAATGCAATAAGTACAGGACAACTTTCTGTGCAAAATCTCATTTCAGTAGCGTCCCAAATCCTTACAAATTCCTTCGGTATTTCTCAAAGTTCGGCACAAGCATTCTCAGCCAGACTTTGTCTAATCATGGAAGAGGATCATCGACTGGAACACTCGCTGCAGCACTTGCATCAGCTTTCTCACAGCTTCTTGTACAATCAGGAGCCGTAACAGCTGGTCAGGAATACAGTATTGGACCAGCGTTGGTTCCAACCTGTCGTCGGTTCTGCAACAGCTACAGTCCCAAATAACACGACCTGCTCCAGCTCCTGCACCGCGTCCTCTACCGGCACCACGCCCTGCCCCTGCTTCTTTCATAGCACAGCAGACGCAAAAGCGGCTTCTCTAAGCGCGCATCATCCGCGCATCCACTGCTACGACGTCCCAGGCGCTTCAAACGTCCAGCGCATCACAGTTTACAGCAGCCACTTCCCAAACGTCTTCAGCATTTCCGTGAGTAATGAAGCCTTGCAGAGTGCAATCATTTCGAACATAGCGTCTTCGAGCGCACTAAATGCAATAAGTACAGGAAACTTTCTGTGCAAAATCTCATTTCAGTCGCGTCCCAAATCCTACAATTCCTTCGGTATTTCTCAAAGTTCGGCACAAAGCATTCTCAGCCAGACTTTGTCTAATCATGGAAGAGGATTCATCGACTGGAACATCGCTGCAGCACTTGCATCAGCTTTCTCACAGCTTCTTGTACAATCAGGAGCCGTAACAGCTGGTCAGGAATACAGTATTGGACAAAGCGTTGGTTCCAACCTGTCGTCGGTTCTGCAACAGCTACAGTCCCAAATAACACGACCTGCTCCAGCTCCTGCACCGCGTCCTCTACCGGCCCACGCCCTGCCCCTGCTTCTTCATAGCACAGCAGACGCAACAAGCGGCTTCTCTAGCAGCGCATACCGCCGCATCCACTGCTACGACGTCCCAGGCGCTTCAAACGTCCAGCGCATCACGTTTACAGCAGCCACTTCCCAAACGTCTTCAGCAGTTTTCCGTGAGTAATGAAGCCTTGCAGAGTGCAATCATTTCGAACATAGCGTCTTCGAGCGCACTAAATGCAATAAGTACAGGACAACTTTCTGTGCAAAATCTCATTTCAGTAGCGTCCCAAATCCTTACAAATTCCTTCGGTATTTCTCAAAGTTCGGCACAAAGCATTCTCAGCCAGACTTTGTCTAATCATGGAAGAGGATCATCGACTGGAACACTCGCTGCAGCACTTGCATCAGCTTTCTCACAGCTTCTTGTACAATCAGGAGCCGTAACAGCTGGTCAGGAATACAGTATTGGACAAAGCGTTGGTTCCAACCTGTCGTCGGTTCTGCAACAGTTACAGTCCCAAATAACACGACCTGCTCCAGCTCCTGCACCGCGTCCTCTACCGGCACCACGCCCTGTCCCTGCTTCATTCATAGCACAGCAGACGCAACAAGCGGCTTCTCTAAGCAGTGCATCATCTGCTGCATCCACTGCTACGACGTCCCAGGCGCTTCAAACGTCCAGCGCATCACAGTTTACAGCAGCCACTTCCCAAACGTCTTCAGCAGTTTCCGTGAGTAATGAAGCTTTGCAGAGTGCAATCATTTCGAACATAGCGTCTTCGAGCGCACTAAATGCAATAAGTACAGGACAACTTTCTGTGCAAAATCTCATTTCAGTCGCGTCCCAAATCCTTACAAATTCCTACGGTATTTTTTCTCAAAGTTCAGCCAAAGCATTCTCAGCCAGGCTTTGTCTAATCATGGAAGAGGATCATCGACTGGACACTCGCTGCAGCACTTGCATCAGCTTTCTCACAGCTTCTTGTACATCAGGAGCCGTAACAGCTGGTCAGGAATACAGTATTGGACAAAGCGTTGGTTCCAACCTGTCGTCGGTTCTGCAACAGCTACAGTCCCAAATAACACGACCTGCTCCAGCTCCTGCACCGCGTCCTCTACCGGCACCACGCCCTGCCCCTGCTTCTTTGATAGCACAGCAGACGCAACAAGCGGCTTCTCTAAGCAGCGCATCATCCGCCGCATCCACTGCTACGACGTCCCAGGCGCTTCAAACGTCCAGCGCTCACAGTTACAGCAGCCACTTCCCAAACGTCTTCAGCAGTTTCCGTGAGTAATGAAGCCTTGCAGAGTGCAATCATTTCGAACATAGCGTCTTCGAGCGCACTAAATGCAATAATACAGGACAAATTTCTGTGCAAAATCTCATTTCAGTAGCGTCCCAAATCCTTACAAATTCCTTCGGTATTTCTCAAGTTCGGCACAAAGCATTCTCAGCCAGACTTTGTCTAATCATGGAAGAGGATCATCGACTGGACACTCGCTGCAGCACGTGCATCAGCTTTCTCACAGCTTCTTGTACAATCAGGAGCCGTAACAGCTGGTCAGGAATACAGTATTGGACAAAGCGTTGGTTCCAACCTGTCGTCGGTTCCTGCAACAGCTACAGTCCCAAATAACACGACCTGCTCCAGCTCCTGCCACCGCGTCCTCTACCGGCACCACGCCCTGCCCCTGCTTCTTTATAGCACAGCAGACGCAACAAGCGGCTTCTCTAAGCAGCGCATCATCCGCCGCATCCACTGCTACGACGTCCCAGGCGCTTCAAACGTCCAGCGCATCACAGTTTACAGCAGCCCTTCCCAAACGTCTTCAGCAGTTTCCGTGAGTAATGAAGCCTTGCAGAGTGCAATCATTTCGAACATAGCGTCTTCGAGCGCACTAAATGCAATAAGTACAGGACAACTTTCTGTGCAAAAATCTCATTTCAGTAGCGTCCCAAATCCTTACAAATTCCTTCGGTATTTCTCAAAGTTCGGCACAAAGCATTCTCAGCCAGACTTTGTCTAATCATGGAAGAGGATCATCGACTGGAACACTCGCTGCAGCACTTGCATCAGCTTTCTCACAGCTTCTTGTACAATCAGGAGCCCGTACAGCTGGTCAGGAATACAGTATTGGACAAAGCGTTGGTTCCAAACCTGTCGTCGGTTCTGCAACAGCTACAGTCCCAAATAACACGACCTGCTCCAGCTCCTGCACCGCGTCCTCTACCGGCACCACGCCCTGCCCCTGCTTCTTTCTAGCACAGCAGACGCACAAGCGGCTTCTCTAAGCAGCGCATCATCCGCCGCATCCATGCTACGACGTCCCAGGCGCTTCAAACGTCCAGCGCATCACAGTTTACAGCAGCCACTTCCCAAACGTCTTCAGCAGTTTTCCGTGAGTAATGAAGCCTTGCAGAGTGCAATCATTTCGAACATAGCGTTTCGAGCGCACTAAATGCAATAAGTACAGGACAACTTTCTGTGCAAAATCTCATTTCAGTAGCGTCCCAAATCCTTACAAATTCCTTCGGTATTTCTCAAAGTTCGCACAAAGATTCTCAGCCAGACTTTGTCTAATCATGGAAGAGGATCATCGACTGGAGCACTGCTGCAGCACTTGCATCAGCTTTCTCACAGCTTCTTGTACAATCAGGAGCCGTAACAGCTGGTCAGGAATACAGTATTGGACAAAGCGTTGGTTCCAACCTGTCGTCGGTTCTGCAACAGCTACAGTCCCAAATAACACGACCTGCTCCAGCTCCTGCACCGCGTCCTCTACCGGCACCACGCCCTGTCCCTGCTTCATTCATAGCACAGCAGACGCAACAAGCGGCTTCTCTAAGCAGCGCATCATCGCCGCATCCACTGCTACGACGTCCCAGGCGCTTCAAACGTCCAGCGCATCACAGTTTACAGCAGCCACTTCCCAAACGTCTTCAGCAGTTTCCGTGAGTAATGAAGCCTTGCAGAGTGCAATCATTTCGAACATAGCGTCTTCGAGCGCACTAAATGCAATAAGTACAGGACAACTTTCTGTGCAAAATCTCATTTCAGTAGCGTCCCAAATCCTTACAAATTCCTTCGGTATTTCTCAAAGTTCGGCACAAAGCATTCTCAGCCAGACTTTGTCTAATCATGGAAGAGGTTCATCGACTGGAGCACTTTGCTGCAGCACTTGCATCAGCTTTCTCACAGCTTCTTGTACAATCAGGAGCCGTAACAGCTGGTCAGGAATACAGTATTGGACAAAGCGTTGGTTCCAACCTGTCGTCGGTTCTGCAACAGTTACAGTCCCAAATAACACGACCTGCTCCAGCTCCTGCACCGCGTCCTCTACCGGCACCACGCCCTGTCCCTGCTTCATTCATAGCACAGCAGACGCAACAAGCGGCTTCTCTAAGCAGTGCATCATCTGCTGCATCCACTGCTACGACGTCCCAGGCGCTTCAAACGTCCAGCGCATCACAGTTTACAGCAGCCACTTCCCAAACGTCTTCAGCAGTTTCCGTGAGTAATGAAGCTTTGCAGAGTGCAATCATTTCGAACATAGCGTCTTCGAGCGCACTAAATGCAATAAGTACAGGACAACTTTCTGTGCAAAATCTCATTTCAGTAGCGTCCCAAATCCTTACAAATTCCTTCGGTATTTCTCAAAGTTCGGCACAAAGCATTCTCAGCCAGACTTTGTCTAATCATGGAAGAGGATCATCGACTGGAACACTCGCTGCAGCACTTGCATCAGCTTTCTCACAGCTTCTTGTACAATCAGGAGCCGTAACAGCTGGTCAGGAATACAGTATTGGACAAAGCGTTGGTTCCAACCTGTCGTCGGTTCTGCAACAGCTACAGTCCCAAATAACACGACCTGCTCCAGCTCCTGCACCGCGTCCTCTACCGGCACCACGCCCTGCCCCTGCTTCTTTCTTAGCACAGCAGACGCAACAAGCGGCTTCTCTAAGCAGCGCATCATCCGCCGCATCCACTGCTACGACGTCCCAGGCGCTTCAAACGTCCAGCGCATCACAGTTTACAGCAGCGACTTCCCAAACGTCTTCAGCAGTTTCCGTGAGTAATGAAGCCTTGCAGAGTGCAATCATTTCGAACATAGCATCTTCGAGCGCACTAAATGCAATAAGTACAGGAAAATTTCTGTGGCAAAATCTCATTCAGTAGCGTCCCAAATCCTTACAAATTCCTTCGGTATTTCTCAAAGTTCGGCACAAAGCATTCTCAGCCAGACTTTGTCTAATCATGGAAGAGGATCATCGACTGGAGCACTCGCTGCAGCACTTGCATCAGCTTTCTCACAGCTTCTTGTACAATCAGGAGCCGTAACAGCTGGTCAGGAATACAGTATTGGACAAAGCGTTGGTTCTAACCTGTCGTCGGTCCTGCAACAGCTACAGTCCCAAATAACACGACCTGCTCCAGCTCCTGCACCGCGTCCTCTACCGGCACCACGCCCTGCCCCTGCTTCTTTCATAGCACAGCAGACGCAACAAGCGGCTTCTCTAAGCAGCGCATCATCCGCCGCATCCACTGCTACGTCGTCCCAGGCGCTTCAAAGGTCCAGCGCATCACAGTTGACAGCAGCCACTTCCCAAACGTCTTCAGCAGTTTCCGTGAGTAATGAAGCCTTGCAGAGTGCAATCATTTCGAACATAGCGTCTTCGAGCGCACTAAATGCAATAAGTACAGGACAACTTTCTGTGCAAAAATCTCATTTCAGTAGCGTCCCAAATCCTTACAAATTCCTTCGGTATTTCTCAAAGTTCGGCACAAAGCATTCTCAGCCAGACTTTGTCTAATCATGGAAGAGGATCATCGACTGGACACTCGCTGCAGCACTTGCATCAGCTTTCTCACAGCTTCTTGTACAATCAGGAGCCGTAACAGCTGGTCAGGAATACAGTATTGGACAAAGCGTTGGTTCCAACCTGTCGTCGGTTCTGCAACAGCTACAGTCCCAAATAACACGACCTGCTCCAGCTCCTGCACCGCGTCCTCTACCGGCACCACGCCCTGCCCCTGCTTCTTTCTTAGCACAGCAGACGCAACAAGCGGCTTCTCTAAGCAGCGCATCATCCGCCGCATCCACTGCTACGACGTCCCAGGCGCTTCAAACGTCCAGCGCATCACAGTTTACAGCAGCGACTTCCCAAACGTCTTCAGCAGTTTCCGTGAGTAATGAAGCCTTGCAGAGTGCAATCATTTCGAACATAGCATCTTCGAGCGCACTAAATGCAATAAGTACAGGACAAATTTCTGTGCAAAATCTCATTTCAGTAGCGTCCCAAATCCTTACAAATTCCTTCGGTATTTCTCAAAGTTCGGCACAAAGCATTCTCAGCCAGACTTTGTCTAATCATGGAAGAGGATCATCGACTGGAGCACTCGCTGCAGCACTTGCATCAGCTTTCTCACAGCTTCTTGTACAATCAGGAGCCGTAACAGCTGGTCAGGAATACAGTATTGGACAAAGCGTTGGTTCTAACCTGTCGTCGGTTCTGCAACAGCTACAGTTCCCAAATAACACGACCTGCTCCAGCTCCTGCACCGCGTCCTCTACCGGCACCACGCCCTGCCCCTGCTTCTTTCATAGCACAGCAGACGCAACAAGCGGCTTCTCTAAGCAGCGCATCATCCGCCGCATCCACTGCTACGACGTCCCAGGCGCTTCAAACGTCCAGCGCATCACAGTTGACAGCAGCCACTTCCCAAACGTCTTCAGCAGTTTCCGTGAGTAATGAAGCCTTGCAGAGTGCAATCATTTCGAACATAGCGTCTTCGAGCGCACTAAATGCAATAAGTACAGGACAATTTCTGTGCAAAATCTCATTTCAGTCGCGTCCCAAATCCTTACAAATTCCTTCGGTATTTCTCAAAGTTCGGCACACAGCATTCTCAGCCAGACTTTGTCTAATCATGGAAGAGGATCATCGACTGGAAACACTCGCTGCAGCACTTGCATCAGCTTTCTCACAGCTTCTTGTACAATCAGGAGCCGTAACAGCTGGTCAGGAATACAGTATTGGACAAAGCGTTGGTTCCAACCTGTCGTCGGTTCTGCAACAGCTACAGTCCCAAATAAACGACCTGCTCCAGCTCCTGCACCGCGTCCTCTACCGGCACCACGCCCTGCCCCTGCTTCTTTCATAGCACAGCAGACGCAACAAGCGGCTTCTCTAAGCAGCGCATCATCCGCCGCATCCACTGCTACGACGTCCCAGGCGCTTCAAACGTCCAGCGCATCACAGTTTACAGCAGCCACTTCCCAAACGTCTTCAGCAGTTTCCGTGAGTAATGAAGCCTTGCAGAGTGCAATCATTTCGAACATAGCATCTTCGAGCGCACTAAATGCAATAAGTACAGGACAAATTTCTGTGCAAAATCTCATTTCAGTAGCGTCCCAAATCCTTACAAATTCCTTCGGTATTTCTCAAAGTTCGGCACAAAGCATTCTCAGCCAGACTTTGTCTAATCATGGAAGAGGATCATCGACTGGAGCACTCGCTGCAGCACTTGCATCAGCTTTCTCACAGCTTCTTGTACAATCAGGAGCCGTAACAGCTGGTCAGGAATACAGTATTGGACAAAGCGTTGGTTCCAACCTGTCGTCGGTTCTGCAACAGTTACAGTCCCAAATAACACGACCTGCTCCAGCTCCTGCACCGCGTCCTCTACCGGCACCACGCCCTGCCCCTGCTTCATTCATAGCACAGCAGACGCAACAAGCGGCTTCTCTAAGCAGTTGCATCATCCGCCGCATCCACTGCTACGACGTCCCAGGCGCTTCAAACGTCCAGCGCATCACAGTTACAGCAGCCACTTCCAAACGTCTTCAGCAGTTTCCGTGAGTAATGAAGCCTTTGCAGAGTGCAATCATTTCGAACATAGCGTCTTCGAGCGCACTAAATGCAATAAGTACAGGACAACTTTCTGTGCAAAATCTCATTTCAGTAGCGTCCCAAATCCTTACAAATTCCTTCGGTATTTCTCAAAGTTCGGCACAAAGCATTCTCAGCCAGACTTTGTCTAATCATGGAAGAGGATCATCGACTGGAACACTCGCTGCAGCACTTGCATCAGCTTTCTCACAGCTTCTTGTACAATCAGGAGCCGTAACAGCTGGTCAGGAATACAGTATTGGACAAAGCGTTGGTTCCAACCTGTCGTCGGTTCTGCAACAGTTACAGTCCCAAATAACACGACCTGCTCCAGCTCCTGCACCGCGTCCTCTACCGGCACCACGCCCTGCCCCTGCTTCTTTCATAGCACAGCAGACGCAACAAGCGGCTTCTCTAAGCAGCGCATCATCCGCCGCATCCACTGCTACGACGTCCCAGGCGCTTCAAACGTCCAGCGCATCACAGTTTACAGCAGCCACTTCCCAAACGTCTTCAGCAGTTTCCGTGAGTAATGAAGCCTTGCAGAGTGCAATCATTTCGAACATAGCGTCTTCGAGCGCACTAAATGCAATAAGTACAGGACAACTTTCTGTGCAAAATCTCATTTCAGTCGCGTCCCAAATCCTTACAAATTCCTCGGTATTTCTCAAAGTTCGGCACAAAGCATTCTCAGCCAGGACTTTGTCTAATCATGGAAGAGGATCATCGACTGGAACACTCGCTGCAGCACTTGCATCAGCTTTCTCACAGCTTCTTGTACAATAGGAGCCGTAACAGCTGGTCAGGAATACAGTATTGGACAAAGCGTTGTTCCAACCTGTCGTCGGTTCTGCAACAGCTACAGTCCCAAATAACACGACCTTCCAGCTCCTGCACCGCGTCCTCTACCGGCACCACGCCCTGCCCCTGCTTCTTTGATAGCACAGCAGACGCAACAAGCGGCTTCTCTAAGAGCGCATCATCCGCCGCATCCACTGCTACGACGTCCCAGGCGCTTCAAACGTCCGCGCATCACAGTTTACGCAGCCACTTCCCAAAGTCTTCAGCAGTTTCGTGAGTAATGAAGCCCGTGCAGAGTGCAATCATTTCGAACATAGCGTCTTCGAGCGCACTAAATGCAATAAGTACAGGACAAATTCTGTGCAAAATCTCATTCAGTAGCGTCCCAAATCCTTACAAATTCCTTCGGTATTTCTCAAAAGTTCGGCACAAAGCATTCTCAGCCAGACTTTGTCTAATCATGGAAGAGGATCATCGACTGGCACTCGCTGCAGCACTTGCATCAGCTTTCTCACAGCTTCTTGTACAATCAGGAGCCGTAACACGCTGGTCAGGAATACAGTATTGGACAAAGCGTTGGTTCCAACCTGTCGTCGGTCTGCAACAGTTACAGTCCCAAATAACACGACCTGCTCCAGCTCCTGCACCGCGTCCTCTACCGGCACCACGCCCTGCCCCTGCTTCTTTCATAGCACAGCAGACGCAACAAGCGGCTTCTCTAAGCAGTGCATCATCCTGCTGCATCCACTGCTACGTCGTCCCAGGCGCTTCAAACGTCCAGCGCATCACAGTTGACAGCAGCCACTTCCAAACGTCTTCAGCAGTTTCCGTGAGTAATGAAGCCTTGCAGAGTGCAATCATTTCGAACATAGCGTCTTCGAGCGCACTAAATGCAATAAGTACAGGACAACTTTCTGTGCAAAATCTCTTTCAGTAGCGTCCCAATCCTTAAAATTCCTCGGTATTTCTCAAGTTCGGCACAAAGCATTCTCAGCCAGACTTTGTCTAATCATGGAAGAGGATCATCGACTGGAACACTCGCTGCAGCACTTGCATCAGCTTTCTCACAGCTTCTTGTACAATCAGGAGCCGTAAAGCTGGTCAGGAATACAGTATTGGACAAAGCGTGGTTCCAACCTGTCGTCGGTTCTGCAACAGCTACAGTCCCAAATAACACGACCTGCTCCAGCTCCTGCCACCGCGTCCTTACCGGCACCACGCCCTGTCCCTGCTTCATTCATAGCACAGCAGACGCAACAAGCGGCTTCTCTAAGCAGCGCATCATCGCCGCATCCACTGCTACGACGTCCCAGGCGCTTCAAACGTCCAGCGCATCACAGTTTAGCAGCCACTTCCCAAACGTCTTCAGCAGTTTCCGTGAGTAATGAAGCTTGCAGAGTGCAATCATTTCGAACATAGCGTCTTCGAGCGCACTAAATGAATAAGTACAGGACAACTTTCTGTGCAAAATCTCATTCAGTAGCGTCCCAAATCCTTTACAATTCCTTCGGTTTTCTCAAAGTTCGGCACAAAGCATTCTCAGCCAGACTTTGTCTAATCATGGAAGAGGTTCATCGACTGGAACACTCGCTGCAGCACTTGCATCAGCTTTCTCACAGCTTCTTGTACAATCAGGAGCCGTAACAGCTGGTCAGGAATACAGTATTGGACAAAGCGTTGGTTCCAACCTGTCGTCGGTTCTGCAACAGTTACAGTCCCAAATAACACGACCTGCTCCAGCTCCTGCACCGCGTCCTTCCGGCACCACGCCTGCCCCTGCTTCATTCATAGCACAGCAGACGCAACAAGCGGCTTCTCTAAGCAGTGCATAATCTGCTGCATCCACTGCTACGACGTCCAGGCGCTTCAAACGTCCAGCGCATCACAGTTTACAGCAGCCACTTCCCAAACGTCTCAGCAGTTTTCCGTGAGTAATGAAGCTTTGCAGAGTGCAATCATTTCGAACATAGCGTCTTCGAGCGCACTAAATGCAATAAGTACAGGACAACTTTCTGTGCAAAATCTCATTTCAGTAGCGTCCCAAATCCTTACAAATTCCTTCGGTATTCTCAAAGTTCGGCACAAAGCATTCTCAGCCAGACTTTGTCTAATCATGGAAGAGGATCATCGACTGGAACACTCGCTGCAGCACTTGCATCAGCTTTCTCACAGCTTCTTGTACAATCAGGAGGCCCGTAACAGCTGGTCAGGAATACAGTATTGGACAAAGCGTTGGTTCCAACCTGTCGTCGGTTCTGCAACAGTTACAGTCCCAAATAACACGACCTGCCAGCTCCTGCACCGCGTCCTCTACCGGCACCACCCCTGTCCCTGCTTCTTCTAGCACAGCAGACGCAACAAGCGGCTTCTCTAAGCAGTGCATCATCTGCCGCATCCATGATACGACGTCCAGGCGCTTCAAACGTCCAGCGCATCACAGTTACAGCAGCCACTTCCCAAACGTCTTCAGCAGTTTCCGTGAGTAATGAAGCCTTGCAGAGTGCAATCATTTCGAACATAGCGTCTTCGAGCGCACTAAATGCAATAAGTACAGGACACTTTCTGTGCAAAATCTCATTTCAGTCGCGTCCCAAATCCTTACAAATTCCTTACAGTATTTCTCAAAGTTCGGCACAAAGGCATTCTCAGCCAGGCTTTGTCTAATCATGGAAGAGGATCATCGACTGGACACTCGCTGCAGCACTTGCATCAGCTTTCTCACAGCTTCTTGTACAATCAGGAGCGTAACAGCTGGTCAGGAATACAGTATTGGACAAAGCGTTGGTTCCAACCTGTCGTCGGTTCTGCAACAGCTACAGTCCCAATAACACGACCTGCTCCAGCTCCTGCACCGCGTCCTCTACCGGCACACGCCCTGCCCCTCTTTGATAGCACAGCGACGCAACAAGCGGCTTCTCTAAGCAGCGCATCATCCGCCGCATCCACTGCTACGACGTCCCAGGCGCTTCAAACGTCCAGCGCATCACAGTTTACAGCAGCCACTTCCCAAACGTCTTCAGCAGTTTCCGTGAGTAATGAAGCCTTGCAGAGTGCAATCATTTCGAACATAGCGTCTTCGAGCGCACTAAATGCAATAAGACAGGACAAATTTCTGTGCAAATCTCATTTCAGTAGCGTCCCAAATCCTTACAAATTCCTTCGGTATTTCTCAAAGTTCGGCACAAAGCATTCTCAGCCAGACTTTGTCTAATCATGGAAGAGGATCATCGACTGGAGCACTCGCTGCAGCACTTGCATCAGCTTTCTCACAGCTTCTTGTACAATCAGGAGCGTAACAGCTGGTAGGAATACAGTATTGGACAAAGCGTGGTTCCACCTGTCGTCGGTTCTGCAACAGCTACAGTCCCAAATAACACGACCTGCTCCAGCTCCTGCACCGCGTCCTCTACCGGCACCACGCCCTGCCCCTGCTTCTTTAGCACAGCAGACGCAACAAGCGGCTTCTCTAAGCAGCGCATCATCCGCCGCATCCATGCTACGACGTCCAGGCGCTTCAAACGTCCAGCGCATCACAGTTTACAGCAGCCACTTCCCAAACGTCTTCAGCAGTTTCCGTGAGTAATGAAGCCTTGCAGAGTGCAATCATTTCGAACATAGCGTCTTCGAGCGCACTAAATGCAATAAGTACAGGACAACTTCTGTGCAAAAATCTCATTTCAGTCGCGTCCCAAATCCTTACAAATTCCTTCGGATTTCTCAAAGTTCGGCACAAAGCATTCTCAGCCAGACTTTGTCTAATCATGGAAGAGGATCATCGACTGGAGCACTCGCTGCAGCACTTGCATCAGCTTTCTCACAGCTTCTTGTACAATCGGAGCGTAACAGTGGTCAGGAATACAGTTGGACAAAGCGTTGGTT